ATGGGGGCGAGATGGGGGGCGTCGGTGGCGTTCTCTGCGTGGTTGGTGGCGGCATCTTCACCCCGTCGTTGTCACGGGCATTGTCGCCGTGCTCCTCGTTGTCTTCATCCTCCTCGTTGTCTTCATCTTCATCATCTTCATCCTCAGCATCATCTTCATCATCATCATCTCCATCCTCAGTATCGTCTTCATCCTCCTCGGTGTCTTCATCCTTCTCGTTGTCTTCATCATCATCTTCATCCTCATCATCATTCTCATCATCTTCATCCTCAGCGTCGTCTTCATCCTCCTCACTGTCTTCATCCTCCTCGTTGCCTTCATCTTCATCCTCAGTATCATCTTCATCTTCGTCATCATCTTCATGCTCCTCATCTTCATCCTCCTTGTCGTCTTCATGCTCATTTTCTCTATCTTTATTGTGTTCATCTTCATTCTCAGCATCATCTTCATCCTTCTCATTGTCTTCATCTTTATCATCTTCATCCTCATTCTCATCTTCATCCTCCTCATCATCTTCATCTTCCCCATCATCGGCATCCTCATCCTCACCCCTCTGGGCCTCAGTCCCATCATTGTCCCATCATCTTCCTCCTCAGCCCCATGTTCTTCCTCAATGTCACCATCTTCATCCTCAGCATCATTGGCACCGTTGTTCTTATCCTTATGGTCCTCGTGCTCACCATCCTCCCCATCTCCATCCTCCCCATCTCCATCCTCCCCATTGTCCTCCCGTTCCTCCTTTTCCTGATCATCTTCATCCTCCTCCTCCTCTTCATCAGCATCAACCACCTTCTCCAGCCCAATCTCCTTCTCCTCCTCCTCCTCTCACTTCTCCTCCTTCTTCCTCCCAACCTCCTCCTCCTCGTTCTCCTCCTCACCGTCAGCATCGCGGTTCCTCCACTCTTCATCCCACCCGTTTCTCCTCCTCCTCCTTCTCCTCATCTCCATCAACTTCCTCTTCCTTTTCCTGCTCTTCTTTGCTGTCCTCCTCTTCCTCCGGGAGCTGGGTCCATGGGGCTGGGGGGGATCTAAGGTCTGGGTGGTGGATCCATGGGTCTGCATGATGGATCCAGGGGTTGGATGATGCATCCACAGGTCTGAATGATGGATTCATGGGTCTGGATGATGGATCTAAGGCCTGGATGATGGACCCAGGGGTCTGGATGATGGATCTAAGGTCTGGATGATGGACCCAGGGGTCTGGATGATGGAGCTAAGGTCTGGATGATGGATCCAGGGGTCTGGATGATGGAGCTAAGGTCTGGATGATGGATCCAGGGGTCTGAGTGATGGCTTCATGGGTCTGGATGATGGATCTAAGGTCTGGATGGTGGCTCCATGGGTCTGGATGATGGATCTAAGGTCTGGATGATGGCTCTGTGGGTCTGGATGATGGATCCAGGGGTCTGGATGGTGGCTCCATGTGTCCGGATGGTGGCTCCGTGTGTCCGGGTGATGGATCCATGTGTCCGGGTGATGGATCCATGGGTCTGGATGATGGATCT